TCTTTTTCTAAGCTTGGTATGTAATCTGATGTGCTCATCATGCCACACTATGCCAGTATATCTCTAACGTCTGCTGACTTCTATCCTATAGTGATTTTTCTTTGCTTACCAGTATGTTCATGGTAGAATGTTGAGAAAGCAGAATTCAGTATCAGCTTTAGCTAGCTAGTGTTTATCTCTGAGTACATATGTAGGACACTTGCTTATTGCTAATACATGTCTTCCTTGCGTTTCCTGTCAGATGCAAGATTTGTGCTGTCTCAGCCAACTGCTGTCTCTTGTCTGTTTGCATGTAGACATGTAAAGCACAAACACCAGCATTCATAATGGCTTTTGAATGCCTTTCTCCAGCTATTGAGATATTGTTTGCAATTTGTTGAGCTAGAGAATATGAACTTGATGAGTCATTATATCCTTGAACTTTATTAAAATGGATTGAATGAAACAGTTTTTAGCTTGATCCACATCCCCAACTAGGAAATCTGTCCTTTTTTCCACTAGAGATGGACATAGGGTAGCACCTTATCAGCTCTTATCAACCTTAAGGCATTGCCTTTTGTGGGCATCCAGACCTACTGAATTACTGCTGGTAAATGAATGAGAACCTAACCAAAAATACTTTAGTCCTAGGTTACCTTAGGAGGAGGGGCTGAGTCAGAGCAGAGAAGCACAGGCTCCATCCAACTTCTTCATGGTTCTTTCATGTCTGCTGCCTGTCCCACTGCACCAACAGCTTGTCACCTTTAAAGTCAGAAGCAGTAAATGTGCTGGCAGATGAAATCCAACATAGATCACTCAGTACTCTGGTGGGAATATCTAACAAGTACTAGCTTATGGTAAAAAGCCCTACCAGTTTCTTTAGAAAGAAAGAAAAAAGGAAGAAAAAAAAGTCCTACCAGTATTTGTAGAGAGAAGAAAGGTTGAACTCAAGTCCCAATTCAACCTGACTTCTTCAAGTTGTTTCCTCCCCAACTTCAATTATTTCCTCTCTGAGAGAATAGGTCTGTTTCTAGAAAGAGAGACCTTAATGAAGTTTTCTTTCTTTTGATGCTGCTTTTTCCTTTTCCCCAGTTCTCTCTCTTCACTGCTGTCCATAAGCACTACAGCCTCGATCAGTGGCAAGAGTTTGCTAGCCAGAATCCTGACTGTCTTGAGGTAACACTGGGCCTACCCTGCTCCCTTCCTTATCCTAGTCTTACAGCAATTATATTTTGGCTTTCTGGGGACCAACCCTCATTACTGACCCATTGGCTGCTCACCAGATCATCTCTGATAGGCCAATGGTCCTGTTTATCCCACAGCATCTGGCTGCCAGCTCAGGCACAGGCTCTTCTGACTTTGAGCAGCTGGAACAGATCCTGGAAGCTATTCCCCAAGTGAACTATATATGCCTGGATGTGGCAAATGGCTACTCTGAACACTTCGTTGAATTTGTAAAAGATGTACGGAAGCGCTTCCCCCAGCACACCATCATGGTATGTTTCTATTATAGTAGGTGCTTTTTATCTTTCTACTTTCCCGCCTTTCTGTTTTGCTACATTAGTCCAGTTTTCCTCTGCTGCGTTATGATATTCCTAGTCCATTTAATCATGATATTGGATGATTATCCATAGTTCTAAGCTTAAAATGTCCATTTATTTGGCCAGTGCAGTATCTCTAATGCTTGGTTCATAGTCTTTGTAAATCTCGTGTCCCTGACGTCACTCACCAAACCATGATGGAACATCTATGCACTGTACATACCTGTGGCACATAGACATCTGCCCACTGAAATGGACACATACTACAATCACATAAAAGGGGTCACATAAACAAAGATTTATTTTCTTACAATCTTAGAAGAGTGATGGCAGGTCCCCATTTTCTTCATTGAGGGGTGTGTCTACTGACCAGAAGCCAGTACAACTGGTCAAATGGGTCTTTAGCCTACAGTACCATCCATGCCTTCTCCCTTTTCCTGAAGCCAGACAGGTTCTATGACAGAATGGCTTAACAGAGTATGTTTGGTCTCTTGAGGAATGGGAGATAAATCTACTTTAAATCAGATGTGAGCCTGGTCCAGTAGTTCCCTTTGCCTCACTGAATGCTCCTCTATGCCACTTCATGTGTCCCTGTTGATCATAGCACCTTGTTGTCTTAGGAAAGTGCATCCTGGACATCGGCTTTACCCTAGGTTCACTGGTGACATTGGCCACTTACCCCCTACTTTGGCTTGGTGTTGCGGGAATGGGTAGGGAGCAGGGTTCTCTAAAGTGGCTAGTGTAAAAGCCCTCAGAAGGCCCACTAGAGGGGACTGAGGATCCTTTCTTAGTAATAATGTTGGAAAGTCATGGTCCAGGCATACAGTATATGACAATACATGACCTGTTGCTGGCCCTAAGGATGCTGTATTTCAATTGCTCTGTCTCAGGCAGGAAATGTGGTAACAGGAGAGATGGTAGAAGAGCTAATCCTCTCTGGGGCTGACATCATCAAAGTGGGAATTGGGCCAGGTAAGCTGGTTCGCCCGGGCCACTGGCTACCCCTTCAGTGGCAAACACCTATGGAGCACATCATTCTCGCCCTTGTCATGTTCTTCCTAGGCTCTGTATGTACTACTCGGAAGAAAACTGGAGTAGGGTATCCACAGCTCAGTGCAGTGATGGAGTGTGCAGATGCTGCTCATGGCCTCAAAGGCCACATCATTTCAGTAAGGCCCAAAGACAGGGTAGGGTATGAACTGGGTTTTCTGCAGGGTATGGAGGTGGCAGAGATGGACTAGAATTCCTGGGTTCTTGTTGGCTTTGAGTTGGATTGTTGGGACATCACTGAGGGCTTAGAAAAATCCATGCTGTGTGTTCATAGTGCTCCTTACTTTGCAGGATGGAGGTTGCAGCTGTCCTGGGGATGTGGCCAAGGCTTTTGGTAAGAAGCTTGAGCACACAGAAGGATTATTCTTTATAAGAGGATGAGTCACTTCTGAGGGTCTAGGGTCAGGGTAAGAGAGGCTCAGGAAGTCATTCAGATTCTTTCATAATATAAATTAGTGACTCTGAAGTCTATGGTATCACCTGTGGTGGCCAGCAGGGGACATCTGAGACTCTCCAAGTGTGGGCCATGGCCATTTGACCATCTCCTAGATTGTTGCACAGTGCAGACTCCTGAGCCCCACCCAGACCTAAAAAAATATTAGGCTCTGAGGAATAGGGCAGCAAATTTTTATTTTTTATTTTGTACAGCTTCCCAGGAGATAATTACTCCCATTAAAGTTGGAGATCTTTGCTCTTGGCACACATGAAATGAGTCTTGTTTAGCTGGGCACAGTAAAATGAAATGACTGGATGATGACGGTGAAAACAGCAAAAGGAGAAAGCAAGTGCCAGGCAGGGACTCTCCAGAGCCTCTTTTTTAAATCTTGGGGAAATCATACTCACTGAGGAATAGAAGCCAGGGCAGATGAGGCCTGCATGGATTGTGGGTCAACTAGGGAATCAGAACCAGGAAGAGGCTGGAATCATTGTCAGGACTGAGAGTGTGGTGTGAGTTGCTTTTGAAGGTGGCCATGTGGGCACCTTGGCCATATTAATAATGTCTTTCCTTCCTCCATGATGGTGGCAGGTGCAGGAGCTGACTTCGTGATGCTGGGTGGCATGCTGGCTGGGCATAGTGAGTCAGGTGGTGAGCTTATCGAGAGGGACGGCAAGAAGTACAAGCTCTTCTATGGAATGAGTTCTGAAATGGCCATGAAGAAGTATGCTGGGGGTGTGGCTGAGTACAGGTATGTGTGGTAGCTCAGGAACTTAGTAATAGTATGGAGGCAGAACTCATGGCTGTTGAGAGGGGGATGGTACAGTTCTCAGAGGAGAATGGTGAACTGGGGCTCAATGCTAGGGTGTGGGGAAAAGTCCCTGGGCTCACGGAATCCAGAAGGAAAGATAAAGTTTTTTTTTTTTTTTTTTTTTTTTTTTTTTTTTTTATAGAGCCTCAGAGGGAAAGACAGTGGAAGTTCCTTTTAAAGGAGACGTGGAACATACCATCCGAGACATCCTAGGAGGGATCCGCTCTACGTGTACCTATGTGGGAGCAGCTAAGCTCAAAGAGTTGAGCAGGAGAACTACCTTCATCCGAGTCACCCAGCAGGTGAATCCAATCTTCAGTGATGCGCACTTGACCTGAGCAGTTCTGCCCTCCCAAGACACCAATATTCTACCATGGGGCATGCCAAGTGAGCTCCTCACCTATCCCAGCTACTGCAGCTCTGTATTACTTTGTCATTTCCTGTTGGCTCACTCCTGAGGGCTCCTGCAGTAACTCTGTACTTTGCTATCTGCACACGCAAAATGCCCAAGGCACTCACTGGGGAGGAAGCAAGGAAGAAAAGTCTGAGAAAATGACGCAAGATAATCAAATGGGAATCTGGGGACCTGACACCTGAAGATTATTAAAAGGAAAAGATGCTGATTGATACATAAATTTTTTACATGGCATTGGTTTAGAGGAGGCAGGCTTTTAGAATCATGTTTTGTTAATCAGCTTCACTAAATGGGACCTTCACATATCTAAAAAGCTCAGAAGTGTTTGTATATTTGAAATACCTCAATAAAGAAAGAGCTCGTTGACTGTAAATAGATGCTGGGGCCTTCTGTACAAGGCCAGCATCTGGCTGCTGCTCCAGAGTGGGTGGCGGTAGGGTCAGCGCTGACCCAGTGGGGTCAAGGACAATGAGTATTATTCCCATGAAGTATCTCCATTCTAGTGCCACCACCCCCAGATAATCTGAAAGCATGAGGATTTACAAAATATATTCTGTATATTAGGACACATATTTCCAGAATAGCAAAAGGATCTCTTCCTGGCTCTCAACCTTGTTAACCCTTCTGGGCATAGCTAAACAACACTTACCAAGGGAAGTAAAAAAGGCAAAGGGATCCTACCAGTCTGGAAGGGCCAGCTGTTTCTAAGGCATGGCTTATGCTGACCTTATGGAAACCTAAATTCTCCTCCCTCACATCAAGGCAGTATTTTAACAAATCCAAAGTTTAATTATTAAGCATTACAAAGTATTTTTAGCAGTTTAGTCAGGCAATCCAAGCCTGGACTTCCACTTCATTCCTACTAAACTACTTGCAGAGCTGAGGAGGCAGGAGACAGGCAGAATACAGAGGGCACTTTAGTTCTATCACAGGGGTTTACAGCTGTCTCTACAGTCATAGGAAGGCATGGCACTGTAGCCAGAAGAGGGGAGGTATTCATAGAAAGTGGGGATCAGGGTGTCAAACTTTGTCTTCTGATAGTTTTCCAGAGACTCCTGTAGAGAAGGGAGCAGGCAGATCCCACCAAATGAAACAATTGCCTGAGCCCTCTGAATTCTGAAGCATGTGGATTTCTTTTTTTTTTTTTTTTTTGAGACGGAGTTTCGCTCTTGTTACCCAGGCTGGAGTGCAATGGCGCGATCTCGGCTCACCGCAACCTCCGCCTCCTGGGTTCAGGCAATTCTCCTGCCTCAGCCTCCTGAGTAGCTGGGATTACAGGCACGCGCCACCATGCCCAGCTAATTTTTTTTGTATTTTTAGTAGAGACGGGGTTTCACCGTGTTGACCAGGATGGTCTCGATCTCTTGACCTTGTGATCCACCCGCCTCGGCCTCCCAAAGTGCTGGGATTACAGGCTTGAGCCACCGCGCCCGGCCCTGCATGTGGATTTCTTAGTCCTGTTCTGCCCATCCACTTCCCCAGCTTTCTGCTCCTTCCTACTCACCTTTCCTTCCCCCTGGCCATTTTCTTCCTCATCAGAGTCTAAAACCAAGTCCCCTATGGTAATGACGGAGCTGCACAGAGATGGAGTACACACTGTAGGAGGGAAACCAGAATCAAACTACTACCTCTAGATGAACACAGGCTCTTGAGAGTCCCCAAGAGAGGAGGCTGTTATCCAATCCTGACTCAGACTACCTACCTGGCTTCCTGGCCCTAGGAGGTAATAATGATAGGGGGTCCATGTAGCAATCCAAGCAATTCCTGAGGTGAGAGCAAGCAAAGAGGATAGGGTGAAAGGAAGGCAGGCAAAGAATGTGCTCCTAGTAAGGAGAATTAACTCTGTTCCACTCACTCCTTTTGCTCTGTGGCAGGCAAGTCAACTGGGTTCTCCTTCAGAGCCCTTCCCCTCAGGGTATGGCTTGGACTCTTAGACTTCCCAGTGGGGGCTGCTCTTGTGCTCATGGCTAGGTCTGCTGTGCATATCGCATGTTCTTCCTTGCTCTCAGGCTTAGATGCGCGCTGGGTTGCTGAGCCCAGATTCCTAAAGGGAAACAGCATGACTGTGGGGCGCTCCTTATGGCCTCCCCTAGCAGACACCCATTGGGAGTGTACTCTTCGTTGGCCTAGAGGGGCCAGATTGAAGTGGTGGCCAGCTAGAGGTTCTGGGTGTGTCCTTGAAGATGGTCCCTGAGGAAGATATGGGCCAGGCTTTGCCTTGGGCAGAGGATTGTGGAGTGCTAGTCTTTGTTGCTGAGGAGGATTCTGTTCCATGGGCTCAGCCAGGTTCATTGAGTCAGTAATAGAGCACTCTGAAAAAGAAAATGAGACCCCTTATAAACAGAACAGATAGTAACAGAGTAACTAGCTTCTTATGCCTGGAGCCCATGAAACTATTCCAATAGGCTGCCTCAAAAGATCTCATGCTAAACACTACACCTCCAAATTCCTAGTACCTGGAAGTGGCCACCCCATGTCCACACCATATTGGCTCCAGGCAAGAGAAGAGGTGACAGAGACTCCAGGCTGCATCCAACTCAACACATCCTGAAGCTGTGGGCAGGGATAGAGGTATGAAGACCACAGTCCTTGACACAACCACCCCACACTCTGCCGTTAACATGTTTTGCCCCAACAAAACCTGCTGTGCCTGCGGTGTAGGCAGTGCTTTCTCTAGCTGACAGAAGTATTCAAAAAGCAGCTTTTCCATTGCAGCCAGAAAGGGTTCCCCATACTCTTGTTCAAGTTCCTGCAGCAGGGAGAGGAGGTCAAAAGTGGGTTAGTGGCCAGGCATGTGGCTCATGCCTGTAATCCCGGCACTTTGGGAGCCTGAGGCAGGCAGATCACTTGAGGTCAGGAGTTCAAGACCAGCCTGGCCAACATAGTGAAACCCCATCTCCACTAAAATATAAAAATTAGCTGGGCATCTATAATCCCAGCTACTCTGGAGGCTGAGGCAAGAGAATCGCTTGAACCTGGGAGGCAGAGGTTGTAGTGAACTGAGATAGCCACTGCACTCCAGCCTGGGCGACAGAGTGAGACTCTCAAAAAAAAAAAAAAAAAAAAAAAAAAAAAAAAAAAAAAAAAAAAAAAAAAAAAGGGTTAGATCCTGTGTTTCTAGAACAAACAAAATAGTATAAAAAAAAAGGAAAGATCTCTCCAAAAAAAAAAAAAAAAAGGGTTAGAGAAAATAGGAGCCACCTAACAGCCTTCAAACCAGTCTCACCTGCAGCTTCGAGGCCAAATCCACAGGAGCATCTGATAGCTGCTTCACCTGCTGACAAAAAGTTTCCTGTGCCTCCAAAATCTTCCTCAGATCATGCTTTGTCTGTTGAGGATATCAGACAAGTTAGCACCAAAATCCGGTAGACAAGAGGAGCAACTTTACTGCACCAAGTGTAACTGGGGTCAGGGCTTGTTCCAGGGATTACTCACAGCCTTGGGGTCCCGCACTACAGGTCCAGATTCTGGAAAGTGGTGATTCAGGGCAGTCAGGACTTGGGCCCAAGGCCGGCCCTGCAGGATCAGCTCCACCACCACCTGTACGGTACTGAATTCAGAATCCCCACCTCGGGGCAAGGTGACTTTTTCCAACTAGTCTCATCCCCAAGCTGTGTGCACTTGTCAGGTCCTCGCATCCCGCCCCTTTCTCTCTTTCCCCTTCTAGGTCCTACTTGCTCCAATACCTTGGCCTTTAGGCCCATACAAAGGCGTTCGTGGTGCCGGTAGCGAACCAAGCCAGGGGCAACAGCGCGCAGAGATTGCAGAAACTCCAGTACTCGCGGAAAATGCTCCACACAGCGGCCGCGCACTACCCGCCAGCTAGCGGCGGCGGCGAAGCGCAGAGCTGCAGGACCGGCCCCCGGGGGCGTAGCCATGGCCGGCGGGCTCCGCCCTGAGGCGGTCCCTCCAGGTTCCTCACCCGGATGAGTGAGGCTTCCCGATCACTCCTAGGGGCGGGGCTTCTGGCAACACTCTGTGGCTCGGATCAGCCGGCTCTGGGTACCTTGCGGTCCGGCTGGGCTCCCTTCCGTAAGCACCCAGAGTTCTGCGGGGGGGGGGGGGGGCTTCTGCTCGGGCTGGAGGAGCCTGAGTGGCGAAGCTGGCTGTCTCCAACGGCAGCAGGTCGCCCACCTTTAAACGCCGCCGCTGTCTCGAGCCCGAGGGTGCCTTATTTCCGGCTCCGCAACTAGCTACTCTTGCCCCGGAAAAGGGCGGTAAGAGGCGGCCAATGGGCAGCCACAGATGGAAGTGTGACGGCGCGTCAGAAGGCCACGCCGCGGCGGAGCTGGAGCTTACAGAGCCCTGCGCCCTCTACCGGCCGACTTGAGTTGGCCGCTGAGTCTGTGTGGGCCCGCCCGTCTGAGTCTTCCCTATCCCGCTTTCCTCGTTGAGCCAGCAGAGAAGCCACGTCACTCCCGTGAGGCTCGACTTCCTGGTCTGTAAAACGAGGATCATGCCACCGCCTCTTCCCACTGTCTTCACCCATCGAAATTCAGTTCAAGTCCCTTGAACCGGCGTCTACAGAGCCGGCGCGCATCGGCTCCAGTAGGAATTCGACTGTTTCTTTTATAAAACGGAAGAGGGCGCCCCGCCCTTAAAATAAAATGCAGGCCGTGCGCGGTGGCTCCGGACTAATCCTAGCATTTTGGGAGGCCGAGACAGGAGGATAACTTGAGCCCAGACCAGCCTAGGTGACATGGTGAAACCTCGTGTCTGCTAAAAATACAAAAAGTAGCCGGGTGTGGGATCAGGTGCCTGTTCAAGCCATCTTCCCACCTAGGCCTCCCAAAGTGTTGGGAGCACAGGAGTGAGCCACTGCACCCAGTCCCTGGCTAATTAAAAAACAATCTTTTAGGCAGGGCGCAGTGGCTCGTGCCTGTAATTTCAACACTTTGGGAGGCTGAGGCAGGTGGATCACTTGAGGTCGAGAGTTCGAGACCAGCCTTACCAACATGGAGAAACCTCGTCTCTACTAAAAATGCAAAATTAGCTGGATGTGGTGGCGCATGCCTGTAATCAATCCTAGCTACTCGGGAGGCGGAGACAGGAGAATCGCTTGAACTCGGGAGGCAGAGGTTGTGGTGAGTCGAATCGCGCCATTGCATTCCAGACTGGGCAACAAGAGCAAAACTCCATCTCAAAAA